CCCGGGAACGCCGCGCTCCCCGCCCGGGGGACACCTTCTGTCTCGCTGCCCGGCGCTCAGGCCCGCTGTGCCCGCTCCTCTGCTCCGGGACAAAGGCACACACTTAGCACACTTACTTTTAAACATGCTCTGAGGTGTTCAGGTACTTGATTATGGAAACAGGAAGAGCACTGTATAATCTGAAACCCTCAGGGCAAAAGAATTGGTAATGCTGGGGGAAAAAATCATGTCTTTTAAACCAAGGATTTAAGCAGCATGTGAGCAGGCCTTATTGCGTCTCTTTCCTTCTACATAGTTGGCAATTGAATTATCAGTGCAAAGCAAGGCTACAAAGGGATACATTTCTTGTGAAAATCTTCTGTGACCGCAAAGTCGGCAGGTCAGCATTTGGAGAACAATCTGCAGCACACCCGCCCTAGAAGGCCATCGGCCAACCTCTGCCCCCTAAAACCTAAGATGATATCAAAGTCACCTTGATAGTAGTTTTTTTCTCATAATCTTATCAAAGAGGCTTTTTTTCTCCTTGCCTGATGCAGGGAGAGGAGAGGAGAGGAGAGGAGAGGAGAGGGAAAAGAAGCTCATAAGGGCTCGCTCAGGATTAAGTCAGGTGTCCTCTGTCTTTCAGAGCTAAAACAGTAAAACTCTGAGCTACCCTCCTAAATGTAATCCCAGCAGTGTTTTGGTATTTTTTTTTCTCTATTTCTTGGTGAATTTTCTGTTTTCCTCCCTTCAAATCCTGCCCAAATGTTGGCAGAGAGGGGTACAAACCAAAACATTTCTGTCCTGAGTCTCTGCTTATGTTGCTGCTCTGCAGAGACCTTCCCTAAGCTCTGGCATTTTGTTTGTCATGGAAAGTGCCTTGTTTAAACTTTGTCTTTTAACGTTTCAAGAGCAAAGCTTTGAAATTCACACTGGATCAGCTGCCGCGCTGCCCTCTGTGAGCTCCCCTTGTCCCTGCTGTTCCTGTTGCACACCAGCACTGTCCCAGACCAGCTCAGGCTGCTCCTCCGTTAGGTCAAGCTGAGGAGCATCCTGGGAGCTGAGAAGAAAGAACAGCTACATGCTAGAGGTCATGGTAGCCCAGTGGAGCTTTGTGTCCATGGAAAACAGAAAAAATCGGACACAAGCTCTAGAAATAAAGCAGTAAGGTCTGGAAACCTAAGGCAGAAGTGATTTGGACTGTTTTTCAGTTACCATAACCAGCCAATCAAGCAAACACCACCCTAGGTGCACACTAAGAAGCCAGTTAATGCCAGTCTGATTACCAAGAGCATGGGGGCTTAACACACAGAGTGAAGCTCACCCATTCAGACCTGTCCCACCAAGTGACACCAGCTGCTTAGAAGAAAAACATGTTTCCGGGTCTTGCACTCTGGGATTTTATGCTTGTCATTATCATCAGTCATTTCATTACTACCAAAGTCTTAAAAAACCACAGGGAGTTATCAAGGACACATGGAAAGCTGGAGTGGTTCTGCTGGCTGTGTGGATGTGTGCTGTAAGCACTAATTGCCCGGGAAGCCATGGAACAGGCTTGGCAGCCCAGTGCGAGGCTGGTGGGAAGAAGAGGTGTGAGCTGATTGGCAATAACAGGCTGCCTTCACAGCGTTCTCCAAAGCTCTTCTCGATCTAGTCCTCAAGGCACAAAAAACACCTTTGTGGAAATTAAAAGAAAAATAACCTAATAGCACAATTCTTTATGAAAGGAGTCCTTTAAATCTTATCCTTAAAATAACACTTCCAAAGAAACTTGGGGTTTGTGCAGCACAGTGGTGGGGCGGGGGGGAGTGGGAAGGGATGTGTAAAGGTTCGGGTTTAAACACAGCACCTCAGATGCTTAATTCCTAGCTGATCCCAGAAAAAACCATGAATTTGATGGCAGTTCCCCCAATCTTGCCCTTAGCCAGATCCACCACGGAGGGATTCTGTGCTCCATGTTTTCATCCGCTGTTTTCTCGCGTGCCGGCCCGGGATCCATCAGCAGATGCTGGGTGCCCGTGCTGCTCGCTCGGCGCTTGCACAGAAGGAGCTCTGACCTCACCTTGCTGTGAGCAGGGGGCCTGCTGGGGCACAGGAGCTCCCCAACACCTCATTCCCAGGAGGGCAGGAAGGGATCCCATCCTGCCCGGGTGAGAACACGGCAGGGGCACTGCCGAGGCCTTGGGCTCTCTCCCTACAACACCCCCAGAGCCACGGACAGCGCAGCTCAGGGCTCGCCCGCGGCTCCGGCAGCACCGCACAGCCGCTGGGAGCGGCCAGAGCCCGGGGACAGCCCCTCGGGAGCGGCCAGAGCCCGGGGACAGCCCCTCGGGAGCGGCTGCTGGGAGGGAGCACGGCTGTCACCGCCGGCTGCGGGACC